CAGGGTTTCTCTATGGCTTTGGAGGCTGTCCTGGAACTCACTCTTGTAGACCAGGCTGGTCGCAAACTCACAGAGATCCACCTGCCTCTGCCTCTGCCTCTGCCTCCCAAGTGCTGGGATTAAAGGCATTAGCTCTTTTAATTTAGCCTGTTTCTATTCATCTGTGTTTTGTCTTGGGGCTTTTTACTTTTCTTTCATTAGGTATGTCCTACTTTCCTGCTTTCTCTGTGCCAGTCTGGCTGGCCCCTGGCATTTCTCTAGTATCTCTTTTTCTTTCTTTCTCCAGCCTCTAAATTCCTCTTCTTACTTACACTCCCTGCCCAGAAGTCCGGCCTATACCTCCTTCCTGGATATTGGCCATTCAGCTTTTTATTAGACCAATCAGGTGCCTTAATCTGATTGGTCTAGGCAAGGTAAAACAGCAACATATTGTTACATAGTTAAACAAATGCAACACATCTTTGCCTAGTTAGACAAATATTCCACAACATTATACTGATCAACTTGTGATAATACTTGCAAAAAACTGTCCTAAAAGAACAAAAATATGGGCCTAGAGAGATGGCTCAGAGGTTAAAAGCAGTGGCTGCTCTTCCAGAGGTCCTGAGTTCAATTCCCAGCAACCATGTGATGGCTGACAACCCTCTATAATGAGATCTAGTGTCCTCTTCTGGCTGCAGGGTTACATGTAGACAGAACACTGTATACATAATAAATAAATAAATCTTTTTTGTTTGTTTGTTTGTTTCTGAGACGGGGTTTCTCTGTAGCTTTGGAGGCTGTCCTGGAACTTGCTCTGTAGACCAGGCTGGTCTCAAACTCACAGAGATCCACCTGCCTCTGCCTCTTGAGTGCTGGGATTAAAGGCGTGCACCACCACCACCCGGCTAAGTAAATCTTAAAAACAAAAAAGAAAAATGTATGTCTAATCCAGATAATTATTTTTTGCTGGGTTAAACTTTAATCAGTTGGAGAAAACAACTCACAACAAAGCCAAGATTTATGACTGTTTGGGTTGTTTAAAATTGTCTGAGCTTTACTTAGCTGTGACAGAAAGTGACAAGATTGGTAAGGCTG